GGTGGAGGGGGTTTGTGATGGATTGGAGTGTGGGGGGGGGAGGAGAGAGAGAGAGAGCGCAATATGATCTTCTACTTTTTAATTTCTTTATAGGTAGCATAAAATGTAACAAAAGATTTGAGCAGTAAACTTTACTATAATAACTGATATTATCACGCTTGCTAAGTATATAATATCAATCCCTTTTTTCTGAATTGGGGGTGGAAGGATTCGAACTTGGGAGCTCTCCAACAATGTGGAAAGAAATAGCCAATACTCCAAACAAAAGGTGCAACCAGGAAGAACTAACCTGTCCAATCACAAACTCGTAGTTACCCTTAAACCGCTGCCTCAATTCACTTTCTGGAGTAGCCAAAAGTTTTGGAGTGCCACCATTACTAATACCTGATACAAGAGCAATCAAGGCAGTTGTATCAAAGTTTATAAGTTCACTTTGACCCAGAAGACTCCCAACTTGAGCTGATTCCCCATTTTTTAGATACAATGAGTAGAATTCCATTCTTGAAATAAGATTAGAGAAAGCACAGCAAAATTCTGTGTGCTCTGTTGAGACGGACGGATCTTTCTCAGTATCAGCAGCCTCTCCCAGGCTTGAATCCTTCACATCAGATTCTGAACTCAAAACAGCGTTCCTTGTATCACTAACCTTTATTTCGAATGCACAAGCCTCTTGATATGTTCTCGCAACAAGTACATTAGTCCATTCACCTGCTTCTTTGGATAAATCAAAATTAAAATCTAAAACAGGAAAATCCAATTGAAACTCAGTGGCCCCAAATTCATCTTTGAGTTTATTGCAAACAATGCTGCTAAGTCCATTTCGGTTTGAAAAGAAGAGAATAATTGAGGAAGGTTTCAGTGCCACGGCTGACCGGGCAGCAGCAGTGACTTGCTGAATACGCAATTTTAATCCCTTACTCTTATCCCTTTTGTAAGGGGATCCGCAGCTGCTGCCACTCCAAGTAATGTATTTTGGGTTCCTATCAGATACAATAATCCAGACAGGGTTCCTATGGAGAGTACAAACTATATCAACGTGGACATGTTTTTTAAGACAAGGGTCGGTTTTCTGCCCATGTGGATGTGGGGCTAAAGTTGACAAAGGAATTGGCTTGCAAACGCGGGAAACACCAGTGATGAAAGGCTGCTGGACAAGGTGAACAACTGCCTCGAGGTGCCCGATATTGACACTGCCAAAATTACTATTTACTATTTAGTTTACAAACAAGACAGACACTGCCATTCAGTCAAAACAACTCAACTCAACTCAACTCGTTTGATTGCTGATGCGCTTTACATTTACAACGACACGACACGACACAAGTAGTAAGTAAAGCAGATAACTTGTATTTCATTTGATTATATATATCATTTTCTCCTATATTTCCAATTTCATTATAAGATACCCTAAGCTAAAAAGGAGCAGTAAATTATAAATAAATAAATAAAGAAGATATTTTTTTATTATTAGGAGGAGTGCATTAGAATTAAATCTTAGAAGTTAGAAGGAAGGAATGGGCAAACCTGAGGTTGAGGGGAGTGGAAGTAGAGGAGGAGAAGGAGGTGGAGGAGGAGCAACAGCGGCAGAGGAAAGTGAGTTCGGAGTGGGCCAATTTGAGAAGAGTGCGTCTGCAAGAAGCAGTGATCTTGGTGGAAGCTGGCAATCCCTCTATTCGGTCGATCACATCTCTGCATCTCTTTTTTGCCAATTCCACTTGTGCTTCTGCTTCCTTTCTCATTCTTCCTTCCTTATCGCGCTCTCGCTTCTGCTAGTCTAGTGCTTTACGAAGACAAAAACAATAGCTTTTGACAGACATACAGGCCCATTACTGGCCCAATAGCTTCTGATCTTCATTTTACTTACTTGGACTTGGACTGGCCAGGCCCCTTAGCCTATACTCAAGATCTTTCTTTCTTTCTTTCTTTTTCACCTCCCAACTTCCACTTTCTTTTCTTCAATCCCCTCAGTGACACAGAGAGCAGTGCAGCAGACGAGTCGACGCTCCGGAACCTTCTCTTCTCTTCTCTGGTAATACTTCTATCTTCTTCTTCTTTTATCTGTTGTTCCGTAACTATAAAAAAAGGGACCAGAAATATATCACTCGAGACTCAAGTGCGAAGAAAACTCGCACTTTCAGTCTTGTATCTGGTTTTTCTGCTCCTCTTCGTTTTTTAAATTGAAACCTAACACAGGAATCAATTATGCATTAGATTGATTATGCTAAGCGCTTGTATGAATATGGGTTGGTTTGCTCGGTAGTCTGGGGATCAGAAGTTCTAACAATTAACTAATTTCTTTTGTTTTGAAGAGGATATTGGTGGGTCTTGATTATATGAGAGGAAAAAAAACTTTATTTAAATTTATTTTAAACAAGAAACCTTTTCTCTTTTTCTTTTTTTTGGGAATGGCTTTGCTTTTAATCTTCTTGAACTATTTGTGTCTGACTCGCTACTTGTGCTGAAAGACTAAAATTTTCATGAAATATTTCTACTCGCGTCTATGTATATTTGCTCCAGACAGATTCTTGGTGTTTCAAGAACGTCTTTTGTGGAAAATAATTTTTTTTAATGAGTTAGGGCTGAGTATTTGATGCTATAGCTCCAATAGAGCATGTAATGTCGTATGCCTTATTATGGGAAACCTTGTACAGAGTGGTGCCTTTTGCATTTGATCTCTGCAATATATTGTTGATGTTATTTCATTATTCATTATTGAGAGGAGATAAGCCACATTTGGAGATGAAAATGCTGGTCTGTTAAATATTAACTGTTTCTTCTACATTTGAAGCAATGGCCGCTGAAGGGGACTCCATTGAACAAGTAGTTGCAGCACGTCAAGAGAGGCTAAGAGCCCTTAAAGCTGCGCAGGAACTGTTAAACACTCCAGATGAGGATTCCTCTCTAGTTGACTCTAATGCTGACGAAGACAATGAAACTAGTGAAGAAACGTGAGTAGATCCTATTCTTTTTGTAAGTTAATGTCACTTACTTACCACCCTCCAATTCCCCATTAGTCTTATTTAGGGTTTTGTTCATGATATTAATTTCAGTTCAATGCCCTGGAAGGTGTTATAGTGCATCTTCCTTTCAAATTCATGATTTTGTGCAGTGAGATTTGTGTACAATATTTATCCCATGATGTTGCCAATGCCCCCATACCCACTCTGTAATTATAGGCATATGTGTGCTGTGCTTTCATATGTCATTTGAGATGATACATCAAAGGTTTTTGTTTATATTTAAACCTTTATATACCTCAACAATGTATGCAGGTGCTTTATGGTTTTCTCATTTTTGTGGTTAGCGTGACTATGGATAAGGAAAACAGTAAACCTGAAATAGTGTCCACAATCTTTAAGTATAAGGAAAACATGACTATGGGTTCAGAACATGAGTACAAGATCTTTAAGTATAAGGAAAACAGTAAACCTGAAATAGTGTCCAAAAGGGGAAGTTGAATTAAGTTCGGGAAGGTTAAGTAGAAATTTCACATACACATAAGGGACTTCTGCTTCCAATTTTTCAAAACCTATATCTTCACTTGTAGTGGTAATAGTATTTGACTTCATGTCATGATTGCAATTATTTAGTTTAATGAGATAGTTGATTATGAATTATATTAGAAGGTATGGTTAGGATGTGATTGGTCATATTTTAATGATACATAAAGGGTTGTTAGTTCTTCAAGTTCTGTAATTTTATTGGCTAGGGATACTTCAAATGAGGTTTTAATATTTAACTGTCAACTTGTGCAATAACACCAGCATGAAATTCCGAAATTATGTTCCTCATGATAAGAAGCTTCAGGAGGGAAAGCTTGTTCCACCAGTCCTACCAAAGTTTGAAGACCCTGTTGCAGCAGTACCTCCTCCCTCAGAGAAGAAAGAGGTACTCCATTACCTTTGAATTTCTTTACTCAATCTCTTAATCACTAGCTTCTGTGTCTTTCATGGTGAATTGTCCATTATGTCACATGTTCTAATTCTTGATTAATGTTCAGGACCCGTTTGTGAATATTGCTCCTAAAAAACCAAACTGGGAACTTCGCAGGGATGTGCAGAAGAAGCTTGATAAGCTTGAAAGGCGAACCCAAAAGGCAATGTGTAAACTTATGGGTATGGAATTACCATTTTCTTAATAACATGTTCCCTCCATAGAAAAATATAACAGAACGCATTTCATGATAGATCTCTTCTTAAATTGGTTGGATAGATAACAGTTGAGTGGTTTTCGTAAGTTTAAAAACTTATAACCATTTTTTACTTTCAGAAACAAAGCATTCGATTTTTTTCATTTTCTTCTCATATTCCTTGATATTGAAATTTTTCTGCATGATCTGGATTGTTACTTCCTACTGGGCAATTATATCAAACTTCAAATGGTGGCCCCTTGGATATCCTGTTGCATTGTCTGGGGGTAAATAGTTTCAGAACCATAGTTTTGGGGCCTCATTTCAGCCCTCTCCATTAAAAGATCCGGTCTTTTCTTTGATGTGCTTGCCCCACGATGTAAACAGACTAACAATGCAGTAGAGAGTGAATTTGGGTTTAGAAAATGGGAAAAAGGTTTCTAGGAAGCATATCTTGCATTTCGTCTAGGTTAGGGCCCAATCTTGCCTTTGAAGCACTCTGAGCCTAGTTGGTTAAGAATATATTCTCTGGCTAAACAAAAGCTATATGTTGTATGAAAGAATATGTTATATTTTTGGTGGCTTGACCTTGTGTTTGAATGAGGTGCCAAGGATGGCAAAATGACAGGATTCTAAAGTGATGGGATATAAAGTCCCAAGATTTCAGTTTTACTTGTTTGGTTAGCATATAAGGTGTCATGGAATGCAAATTAGGAATGTAGGTTTTGTGTCCTGGTCCTGAAACCTCAGACCGAGGACACTGGACTCAGGATCCCATGCCGAGGACCTGGACCTCTGGCCATGGATCCTCGTCCCGAGAACTGGGTACCTGGACCAGGGTCCCAGAGCTAAGGTCCAGCGCCCTAGGTCCCAGTTTTAAATTGGCCAAATCCGGTTAAGATGGAGTTTTGAAGTAACACTTAACCTCAAATCCTATCGCCAAAACCCTCACCCAAACATGCCATAAGAGGATATATCTTTTAAGGTCCTGTATGCTATAATTTTATTATGGCCTGTTAGTCTAGTTTATGTTTTTCTTTATGGAAGTTATTGGACCAACATCTTCGAAGTTTGTAATGTAAAAGCATGCAATGCCAGTGTTTTTCACTTTACACTTAATTAGCCTACACCCTGTGACAATGAGAACCAAATGCTTAATTCGGTGGCTTTAATAAGCTGTAACTTAGATTAGATGTAGAGTCATATTGAACTCACTTTACTGGTTCTTGTTTTTTCTTTTTCTTTTTGGGCAGAGGAACAAGAGAAGCAAAAGCAATTGGATGAAGATGGCAGAAATGGTGCAGAAGACTAGTATGGCCAACTCCAAATTGGCATCATGTAACGAATGGCATTAGCGGATAGAATGACCAGCTGCCGTTCCAGCCTGGAGTGATGTGTGGTCTTTGATTCTCCACCTCAGGATATTTGTGATCTCTGCTTGATGATGCTGTTGGTTTTGCTAGGCCTAGGGATGTTTGTATTGACATTATTTGTTAGTTTTTGTTACTTGGGCTTCTTGTTTACAAAGTCAATTCTACATTTGTCAAAATATTGACAATTTGCCCTTCAAAAGTAAATACCCGTTGTTGAATCCAATTAATTGGGGCGGTTTATTTAAAAAAGTCAGAATTCGAATCCTTTATTTTCCGTAACATGGAAGCTTGGACCCAGAAAGAGGGAGAGGGAGATAGTGTGCGCTCTCGTGCACCAAATAAACGAATTCTATTCTAAGAGCATCTTTAGGAGAGTCTAAATTTTAGCTATAATAGCTATTATAGCAAATCACTTAAAAAGTGTTTTTTCCAATAATGTTCTCTAGTTTGACTAATTTGAAATATTTTATTATTATTTTCTCTTCTCTTTCTCCTTCTCTTGCAAATCAAATATATTAAAAAGAAAAATAAAAACCCAACCCCGCCAAAGTAGCTAGAGATGAGAGGATAGAAAGTCTGCATACCTATTTCTTAATATTCATATTTCGACTTTTATGAAGTTTATTTATTTGCCATAGCATATAAAAATCATTGTTTTGAACGATACATACGTAAAAAGCCTACTCTTTGTTTCTAGTATTTATTAACGTTAACAGAGCGTCTTTATCAGAATATTTTTGCTTCTCATTTCAGGCAATTGGCAATAATTTTTGTGGACTTCCGGAAATCTGTTTCATGCAGCTTGGCAAGAAATTTTTGAGGCGTAGGTACAGGATCCTTTCCATGTAAGACCTATTTATCTTATTACGAATAATTCCAACAACTTCGGGAGAAAAAGAGGCATTCACCTATTACAAAGATAGTGCGATTTGATTTTTTTTTTTTTTTTTAAAATAATATTTTTACCGCTCTCAGTCTTAAGATGCTCTAAGTTCGCCAGACGCAACACTTCAACTTTTTTTTGAGTTTTTCTTCGAATATTTTTATGTGTGTGGACACTGGACAGAGAGTATACCAACAAATTACGGATCACAACAAATAAAAGGAACGCTTTTCTATGAAACACGATACTTATGAAACAGATGGACAAACGTAATCGGACAAGACTGGCTTCAACTTCGATGGAGCAAATACCCGTTCTTGGTAATTTGCATATGAGTCATTCTTCTCTTCCCCCGTAGCAGCCAATTAACAATTTACACACAACAGAAAACATAAATACAGAGCTCTATAAGTAAATTACGCATGGGGAGAAGGAACAAAAGAAATTTATAAGGAAAAATGGATTAAAAGGAGAAAAAGAAAAAAGAAGAGGGGTAACAAAAGGGCAGCTCAAGTAGACCTTGGGCTCTACAATTGAATGGTCATCCACACTTCTGGATCGGCCCCTGTTACTTTGTGATGCAGAAAACTATCATATATGGCTTGGCTATCTTCTGTCATTCCTGAGCTGGTTGGAACCAGTCTGTCCCTTATTCATGTGCTCCATGTTCCAAGACGGGTCCACCGGAGGAAGTTGGTATTCATCCGGTTTCAGGGCCAAAGCAAAGTCTGGCAATGTTGGTGCTGTCTCCATGATTCTGCAGTCAAGATATCCATAACCAGACGTTAATTATTCATATGGTTCCTTCTATCAACAGAGAACAACGAGATTACAATTAGGTGCCAAGAGTGTGAAGGAAATTGCATTTGGGCATAAATATTATCAGTTATACTTCTCTCCAGTAGGACATACTTTTCGTGTGAGTAGAGGTCACGGTTTATCCGCACTTTGCTCGAAGTATCTTTTGGAATTTTTTCAGATAGATATTTCATGGTTCCCCAGAGCGGTGGATTTCTGCATAATGTCTATCAATTAAGCACTTACTCAATAAGAAAATGATTAAAAAGAAGAAGGAAACTGATCAACTAATAACACATCAATCTTCAATCCACCAACGCTAGCTACAAGATAATAGATCTTGCACATGGTTCAGTACACACACGCAAACAAATATCTAGAGATTGGAATAGAGACTACATAATTTAGGTGAGAGGAAGATTTAAAAAAATGGACTAGAAAACCAAAAGAACGGTGATTGCAAGGAGAAGCGAACATATTTATTTCAGAGGAAATAATTATGAGCTAACCAGTTCACCTAGCTGAACCATGCTAGATGACCAATGAGTAAATAAATTCTAAAATGTTTTAATCTTGAAAAAGGATGCATGCTCATGTTGGACACAAAATCCTCATCGTGTGAAACTTGGCCTAAAAACAAGTGTTTCACAAACCCAATGTCCTGAGCAGAGTTTGGCTGAATAACTGGAGTACACTACTTTGTTGCTGCTACAGTCTACATACTCTCAAAGGTGAAGAACTTGGTGCTCTGAAGATAACTGAAAACTTAGATACCTATCCTAGAAAAAGGGCAGATACTCTGCCAGATGCCACAAGATGAATAATCCATCTATCAGCACAAATGAACAAGAAAATAGGGCTCTACCTACCTCGACAAAGGAGCAGCAGCATGAAATGCGTCACATGCTTTCTTACTTTCTTTAAAATACTCATCTGCTGCTTGCAAAGCAGCTACAGCCATCCCATGAAATTTTTCGGTGTTACCCTCGTCAAGGATCAAACCATGATAATAATATGCAGCAGCCTGATTAATATTGGAGGAAAAAAGATGAGCTTTGGTCAGCTGTGCAAAACACAAACTTCAATCATAATGAAATCAAATACTGAACGTTAGTGGCAGAAGACCCCTCTCTATCGGCTAGATCAACGTAGAGGAATCAATTGACATACAACTCTTCATGAATAGTTAAGTTGTTAACAGTTCTGATGGAAAATTATAACTTTAGTGAAAGAAGGACTGGCACAGTCCATGGTGATCTCCAATATTACTTCTCATTCGGCAATCACTTACTCAGAAAAGACAATACCGTACCATAACCAAGAACAAGTATCAAAATCTGCGTACACAGAATTTAATCCAAGGGTAGACAAACCGAATTAACAAGTAATCACCAAAGTGGAAAATACAAGTGACCAACTTGGTATCTTTTTAGGAAGAAAAACATTAATTAGGAAGAAAAAAATTCTAGAGGAATCACTAGAAGTCACTTTTTTTTTTCCTCCAAAAGGGAAAACAACATGTAAATCATTTTTTTCCCTTACAATAAGAATCTGAGAAATACTATCCTTATAATGAAACAAAAACTCAGAAAATGAGATAAGGATAGCAGTGAGCGCAAAAGCAAAAACACATAAAAAATTGCAGCGTACCTTTGCCTCAACATATTTCCACTTCACAAAGAGCCGATGCTTTTCACCCCAACCATTTAATAATGGAAGGTTCATAATGTTATCTTGAGCCTGTGAAGAAATGACATAAAGAAAGCAATATATGGTTCAGGGTCACCAATTTTGATGTGATTTAAACAAACATATCTGGGATGAGAAGTGTAATCATGAGGAACATAGTGAACCATCAGAATTAACTTAAATATGACATGTAACTGATATGGAATATAGAGGAACTTATGTGAATAGAAAATGGCCAAAATAACCCAATATCAGGAAGGGCAAAAGAAAATCTGAAATTGTAACAAACCAAAAAAAAAGGGTTATGACTAAGAGGAACATTTAATAAAGAAAATATTTTAGGCAAAAAGAACAAAGTGGACATGATTAGATCCTCTTGTTTGGGGTATTCAGAGAATATTAAATTCATATTTTTCTGCCCATCCTAAATGTTGGGTATGTGGCCGTGTGTGTATGTACCAGATATGCACGTAAAGGCATGACAGCATAAGTCAAAGCAAATATGGCACAGTATCAAAAACTAGTGAACCAAACACACTCACTAGTAAATATAGCAAAGAAGTATAGATGGGGTAAGCTCTCGTTGGGGATCTACCAAAAATGGAGGTGTGTCTTAATTATAAATGTTCTGCAATAGTACTTTGACATTTTTGGTTCTAGCACTGTGCAATGGAATCCATCATGTACCCACAACGAGTTTTTAGGATCACTATTTTGCTCCTCAAACCTAGAATATCCAAATTCAGACCCTGAACTGATGCAATTTGGGCTGTAGGACTAATCTTTCTTCTTCTAACTCACAAAAATTGCCGATTTTTAATATATGTACAGCCAAAAAAACATGAAGAAAAATGGGAGACTTCAAATGGAAGCATGGAATGGAACATTTATTACAAAAATCCGAGACTTCAAATGACATTACTAATTGAGAAGAGCGCACCATCAATGCTGAGAAATCTCTTACCTGCTGCCAATACTTCACCATTTCACATGCAAGCCTTCGCTTCACTGCAAGAGTAGCTTTTGTGCTATCAATTGCCATACCAAGTTGAATATCAACACCCTACAGTAGACATTGGAACAGATGAAGAAGAAAAAGCAAAGAAAAATAGAAAAAGGGTAAGCAAAAGATCATAGATCAGAAGACACAAAGTTCCAACATAATTCTATATAGTAGCATAATACACCTTTTAGATGGTAGGTCCAATTTCAGGCATGAAGTTTGAAACATAAAATGTAACAGTTTATCAGATCAGCCCATTTTTTGAAATACCTGTCCTAATGCTTGTAGGCAAAGGGCCCGAAGAACTCCTTCTGCTAGGTCGACTGGCAGGTTTCTCCTGCAACCAAGCAATAGTCAAAAGATTAAGAATAACAGCATTAGGAACATGTTAACAAACAGGAAGTTGAAATCAGTATAATTTTCAATTGATACAAACTTGAGCTCAGTAGGCAACTGTGGGTGAACATGTCGGACAGCACAATCAAGGTATCCTGCTGCCTTTATGAAAATATCAATTGAAGCTCGTCTACTCTCTGTGAAAAAACAAAAGAAGCCAAGTGAGGCACAACCAAGTGAAGAAATTAGCATGACAAAAGCCAAAAGGTTGACTGATGACCAACTACTGCATATACAAGTTTTCTTCTTCTTCTTTTGTTCTTTTTTCTTCTTTTTTTGTAAATAAAAAAGATCTTCTCAAAACATGTAACCCAAGCAGCATAACAGAACATAAACAGGTGAACAAATAACTTACTACGAAGTATCAAACAGAAGAATCTTGATTTAAGTATACTGACCAGGAAACCCATTTTTCAGTTGTTTTAGTTATCTCCTTTTAACATATTAGAATTCTGTTTTAAAGGGTCTAATGACATAATCTAATGAATTTGCAGTTTTCTATCTCTAGTTTTCTAATTTTTCCTATTTGTCATTCAGTTTCCATGTCAACCATGGTAGGCTCAATCCAAAACTGATACTTTTGATGGGTGTGAATCACAGTCAGCACATGAAACCATGTAGAGGAAACATAAGGAAAACTGATCAATCTCGTTTTTTCACAACTTTATCCAGAGTTTTATACTTTATGATGCCCGGAAGTGGAGTGAAACAAGCAATAAATATACGATTGCACATTCTGCGGATATAACTACACATTACACACGTATTGAACCTATAACTAAAGATATGTATTTATGCTTATTGTCTACTATATGAATCTACCACAAAGACAGATTACTTGAAAGTATGCAATTTAGTCAGCAGAAAAGTTTACTGCAGTTTGCATCTGATTCTAAACTTCAGCAGACTGTTTAGTGCTGCATTAAGTTAGAAAGTGCTCAGTACAGAGAAGACTTCATGACCATTAAAGGTCCACAATCATTCTAGAAAGTGCCCACAACACAACTTTCTCATTAACATAGCAAGCTATTGTAAGAAAACAAATGAGATAATAAATGGAAAAACACAAGATTTAATTGCCTATGGCTCAGTCTCATGCAATAATGCTACTTTCAATGGACCCAAAAAAAGAACAATACCTTCTGTTACTTTTGGCTGATAACCATCAGCAGATGTTCTTGGAAGAAGTAACAAATTAGCTTGTGAGAACGATAGCATTGCCATTAAGTGCAAGATGGACAGCACCTCGTACCATGCATTAGACATAGCTGTTTCCTGAAGGATTATTCATTCAAATCAAGTCAGGTTTCCTTGACAAAATGATGGAATCTAAACCTTACTTGAGGAAAAATATATATATGACATGCATAACAGAGAAATGTGAACTTAAGAGCTCTGCCACATGCCCACCTCTGCATCATCCTCTTGATTTACCCACACAAATTGTACCTTGTGTTGTAGCTGGCTTCCTTCATATTAGAAATAAGAAACGCCTTTAGGATTTAACTAAACTTGTGGATACAGTTTAATGAGATGACATAAGATCAAGACTTACCATCTTTCATTAATCCCAAAAGGACAGGCAAGTAATCCTCGAGAGCCTGCTGAAGATCAGCTAATGTTGAACCACCTGAGGACAAGAATTCATTCAGATGTAGAAATACTTGAGTTCACATATCATTTGGAAAAATCAACAAACTTGTGTCCATGACAAACCATGTTGGGTAGCAGTTTTTCTCCTTGTTCTTGTAATTGTAGGACCTTCTTGGCCAGCCATTACAACTATACGAGTTCTTAAAGCAGATAGGCGTTCTACTAAACTCTTGGATAAGTGATCACCGAGTGACTGAGAGAAATCAACAGGTTTAGGGATTCGCAAACCAGGAACATAGACAGAAACTTCCCCAATATTTGCTGGCCTCCTCCTATTTCCTACTGTATCTTTCGGTGTTGACACCAGGCATCCCATATCCTAAGACTTGCTATATCTGCCAACCCAAATAAAATTTAGTCAATCAGCATCCGCACTATTGAAGCTGTAAATGAATTTCCAGCTTGTTGTATGTAAACTCTCTCTTACATGAAACAGTGGTGATTTCAGAACAGCATGCAGGTAACTAGGTTCCAATGTATATGAACCAGAAATGATAGCTGTTCAAATATTATAATCCAAAGAATGGAGATAGGCATGGACATAAACAGTAGGCAAGCCATAATTAAATGTCAACCAACAAAGCACAAGTAGTAGGTTGCTCACGAGCGACACCCAAATGGCTCTGAGTATAACTCTCGTTGAGATGTTAATATCTTTAATTGGTGTTGTAAAACACTATATCTCTTTATTTCCAAAAGTGGACTAGTTTGATAACATTGAGATTGAGTAAACAAATAACTAACAATTGGCTAAAATTGATCTAAACCCACCTTCTTTCTTACAGATGGCTGACTGATTGGTCAAAAGTTCTGGTTGTTTCTGCACCCAAAAAAAAAAATGAATACCAACAATTCGAGGTTAGAGCTAAAAGAAGAAAAATGAAGGTTATTTTCTTTAAAGGCAAGAGAATCACATGAAAGCATGAGCCATGACATTTTAGGAGAGTTGAAAAGAAAAAGTGTACCGAACTTTATAAGGAGGGTGATTTCTCGTGCAACCAATTACGTTGAAATGTGGAAGTAAAGGAATTCAAATTGAACTAGATTGGCATTTGGTATTTGGTAACCTCTCACGAAAAAGTTAACTTGAGATGAAGATTATGAGTAAAGGGTCTCCAAACAAGCTCAAGCAAGCAACAATTGGAGGAAAGCATAAAATTCAAAAAGAAAGAAAACCCAGAATTCCAGCTCCAAGCAATTGCAGATTTATTTATTAAAGTGAGGAGATGAGAAAATGCAAAGCGAACGTAATAATATTTGAGGATGCTCATTATCTGGGTCTTGGGTATGAAACACAAAAGACAGAAAAATAAAAAATAAAAACTGGAGAATTCAATTGAATATAACTAAAAGAAAAAGAAACATCTTTTCTGACTACCAAAGAGTAGAATTGTATACTTACCAACTAACATAAAGCCACTAGTTTGTGTTTTGGCAATTGCAAATTTGCAACTTTCAAGTCAGGTCAGGTCCCTGGTCAGAGAGAGAGACACTCGATGATCAAATAAAACTCAAACCTAAACATAAAGATGCCTTCCTTCCTAGGCAGAACCCCTACGGACCATAATCATCCCGAAGCTTATTGGTGTGCAGTATGAAGATCACAGACTCTCAATTCAAAACAAAAATTAATAAGAATAATAAAAGGAAAAGCCTTTTCCTTAGTCGTCCGGAGAAGAAAGAGCCAAAGAGGGTATTGGAAATGGAAAAAGAAAAAATAATAGGGATTTTGTTTCTACTCTCTTATTCTTATTAAAGGCTAAAGCTTTTAGCTTTAAGCGGGTTCGACTTCAACACTCAACACAGCATATTGGGTTGGGTGGGTGGATTTTAGAAATTTGGTGGAGCTTTGTATCGTATATATCGGCATAAAGTCGCTTTCTTTTCTACATATATATGATGATGATATATATATATATATATATATATTCCTTGTTCTTTTTCTTTTTTTTCTTTTCTTTTCTGGTTTTAAATTAATTATAGCGTTTGAATGGCGCCCTGTACTATTACTATACCCCAAATCCGAAATTCCTATTCTCCTCCCTCTCTCTCATCATCACCGAACCCATCAGTCCGTCGGTCCCTCTTTTCCTACGTCAACAACAACTGTCTGTTATTCTTGTCATTTCTGCTGCACTCACTTTTCACTTGTATGTTTACCTTTTCACCAATTTTTTACTAAATCAGCGGCAACATATCATATGATATGAATTATGGATGGACAAACCAACTGGTGTCGATTGAAATTGGAACACACTCTTCCTTTCTTTTTTGCTCTTTCGTCTTTCCAGAACAAAGAAAAGAAAAGAAAAGAAAGCCCGTTACTTGACTTTGGATCAACTTCGTCAATACCAAGTCGTCTACGACTAATATTTCACACAAGAAATGACAAGTGTCAATCAAATAATGGTGCAGCAAACTCCTAATTATTGGGAATCGAGTTTTACAATCATTGGAAGGCAACAGATTAATTTAGTTTTTTAATTATTGGGGGATGTGTCCTGCATCTCTCGTCTTGTGATTGTTTCGGCTTTTTAAGTTTGATCGTTGGGGGTCTTAGTTTGCGTACTAGTTTTTCGACTTTCCCCACCAAAAATGCATGAACAACCGCACTCCATCTCCAGCATCCCTTTTTTTTTTTTGGTCAACAAAAACTTCTTTAGATGGAAAAAAAAAACCAAGAGAAAGAAGATGCAACAGGTCTCCAATCAAAACCAATTGGTAATGAATAAGGGATCCAATTCCTTAAAGGCCGTGGACTTTAATATCATGAATAAAATTGAGATTGCAACCCCAAAATTAATCGACAATGAGAAAATGACCACCTCTTTTATAAGTTATTGTAAAGTTTTTTAAGACCCATTTGATAACCATTTTAGTTTTCTTTTTTCATTTTTCATTTTTTATGAGGCAACATCATCAAATTCACATTACAAGGTAAAATGTAGCATATATGTTATCCATCCTGACTCAAAACAATTGAAACATCAACTTTTCATGCTTACATGAGTTAGGTCGGTTGGGCAGGGCAATGATCTGTCCCTCTTAAGGCATTCCTGAGCTCCAGCCAGGGCTAGCTTGTGTTGACGCCAGCGCTACAGTGTCGCCAACAATTATATGCCATGTGTCGTGTCCTGGACTCTCCGATCATAATTTTTGCTCCAATCCAACGGCAGACAATATTTTTGTAATAAAAAAATCTGAAAAAATTGAAAAAAATACCAAAAAATTACTTTTTTTTTTCTTTCTCTCTATACCTTATTTCCATTTTCAACATTTAAGTAAATGTCTTTGTCCTTTTACTTTTATTTATTTTTATATTACTCCATTTACTTAAGTTTACAATGTAAATAAGGAAGTACCCCCCATTTGGATTCAAATAAAAATACTAGAAAATCAAATTCCCACCAAATCAAAATATGAAAAATCGGTTAGTGCAAAATACGATTTAGGCTAAAAATGATGGCTCATTAAGTCAATATATACTTCATATTAAAATCCCATAAAATCAAGTTTTCTTATTTAATGTGTAAGGAATAAAAGCCGCCAAAAATTATCTTGAGAAAATGATTATTCCGAAAAACCATTTTTCATACTTAGTCAATATTGCACCTCCGCTAAAACAAATTCCGGGTCCGCTAGTGTCTATAAATACCAACTAATACTCTTCACTTTTAACACCTGGAAATACATTTTGCTGGGGGGCTAGGGCAGCCACTATTCACGTGAATAGTAGCCGCCCTAGGGCTCCCCTTGGAAGTGCTCTTATATCTAAGTTTGAATCTTTCTCTTGTATATTAGATTAATTTAGAGTAATTTAAACTATCACTTGTATAATAATAATAATAATAAATCATATTGATTCTTCACCAATCTAAATTTAAAACAAAATTAGCTAGAAATTTGTATGCTTGTATGAGCTGATATTTCTCTTGGGGCTATGAAAGCACAGTTTGAGGAGTGTGAGGGTAAGAATCAACTTGTCATTGGACAAGTGTCCATATAACTAAGAGAGATATGGATGCATTGCAGTATGGAGATAGTTAATTTTAGTTGTACACTTTTGATTGACTAAGACATATATACAATACGTAACATAGGAATAAGACATTTCAAAAAGGACATGAGTTAATAATGGGACCTCTGCGCATCAAAATGTAATCTTTTGTGTCATAACTGTCGTTAGCATAAGAAAGCGTTTGATGATTGATACACTGAGACTGAGTCAGTGAGTAGAGTAGTTAGCTGCAAACACATACAAGAGTTTCCTTTTAGCAAGTTTCCTCTTCGATATGCAACTCAACTCATTCCATATGTTAGTCTTAGTCTTAGGTAGACAAATCAGCTCTTTCATTTTCATGCGGTGCGGTTTTAAATTTTAATCCTACGAGGGAGGGAGAATATGCTTTTTTCTTATTTTTTTTATTATATATTTCCCTTTGTTTTGCTGTGTTTGTATTTTTATTTTTACAAGGAGCAAAAAGAAAGCTTGAACCAAAGCTAACATGGATTGAGTTGAGCAACTAACACACCAAATTAAGGTAGACATGCAGTTCGTCTCAAATTTAAACGACTCATTTCAAGTAATAACAGCCAGGGGCAGAGCCACCTTTGCCCCCAGTGTTTTGTAAGCTTCCACTAATTAATGTAATGTTTTGTAAAATATTAACATAAATTTGTATGTTTTCAGTTAATGGCCCCCAACCCCAAATTCGAATCCTAGCTCAGCCTAACTAGTCTAAAAGTACGTTTAATTTTCAGTATGCAAATTGTTTATTGTAGAGAATTTTGTTTGTATGATGACTTATATTATATATAAAATGACAATAAGTATAATTATAGGATAATCATATATATATATATAGAGAGAGAGAGAGAGAGAGAGAGAGGCTTGTTTCCAGAACTAGAAGTCGACGTGTGAACAGTTTTTATCATGTATAATATATCTATTTTCGGTTTAAAATGCCACCCCTAGGTTTCATTGCGGTAAATTATCGGTAGAACCATAACCAAAAACTTTTTTATATTACATTTTCAACTGTTTATGTTTTAGTCTTAGCAACAAAAATATGTTAATGTGTTTACATGTGGGCGCTAAACCAGTGACAGTGAGACCAGACATCCAGAGGCCCACAGCAAAGCAGCTCCCACAAGCCCACCGTCCAAGAGCTCTAAGCCTTCCACGTGCATGAACACGTGGCATCATGGAAGCATGTCGTCACTCATATATTTGTCACAATCTAACTCTAGCCCCTGATTTGCCGAGGACGGTTACTGGGATGACAAAATCACAAATATCTAATTTAAAAAAGGAAAGGAACACGTGGCGAGCGATGGCTATCCTTTGATATTTGCCGGTTTCGGCTAAGGTTTTGCAGCCATCGTTACGTTACGATTCCGCTACATCCATAATAGATAATACATTGGACATTGAATTTGAGACACTTCTTGAGAGGTACACGCAAGGCAACAAAGTAGGAGTGCGTGCCACGTGTAGAAGATTGTCAACGTAATGATGATCATGCCCGCCGGCCCGCCCGCCTGAGCTGGTTTGCTAGGTTCGTTGGATTGAGATTCCCACCCAAACGATGGACTGTCTGTCTGGCGCTCGCTAGCTAGCTAGCTGGGATTAGACTGAATGGCCATATAACTGATCTGCATGCACGACACGTAACACCAAATCATGCGCGTGGGGCCTACTTCTTTCTGGTCCTGGCCGGGTTTTCTTCTTTTCGTTTCGTCTGTTTCGAAGAAGACGAAAAGGCTATAATGAGGGCTTAAAGTGAGGAAGTTATTTGAGGAGGTCAAATCTCACCATCAACAAATGTAAAGAAATTATGAGACTTAAATATTTTAAATGTTTTAACGGTCGGATCAGTCTCTTCAAATAACCTCCTCACTTTAACTCCTCATTGTAGAAGCTCCCCGAATAAGAGGGCTACGTCCGAGGCTTCTGGTTAGCAACTTGGCATAATCTATCAAAGAAAGCCCAAAGGGCACCAACCAATAAGCCCCAACCCAACGGTCACAAGGGCGGAGGGTATTTACGTCTTCTCATAAAAATCCCACATTCAAATATGCTTAACATTCCCAGACTCGCAAATGTTTCCCTCCACCGAGAAACCCTAATAAGTTTGCAAAGAATTGTTGGGTTCTCAAATCCTTCTTCAACAATTTATTTAATTAATAGGTGAAGATTGCTTTCTAAGTTAAGGATTAAAAGTTTTGGATTTCAGATTCCGGTTCTTGGCAATTGGCATTGTCAATTTGTCATTATCATGGATGAAGAGTGCATACAAAGCTCAGCCTCAGCCTCAGTGGATTTGATTTTCAAGTTTGAAAAGATTCTTCCTGGAGTTGAGAAATCTGCTTCTATATCTCCTGATCGAGTGAAAAACCCAAGAATTCTTGAGAATAAGATTGAATGTCAGACACCGGAGAAGATAAACGAGCCTTTAAACACCAAATACCACGAGGGGCTAGTCCAACTTCCAGATCCAATTTTCCATGGCTTCTGTTTCTCTTTTTTTTTTCTTCTTCTCTAACAAAGTACGAACGATTGTTTGAGTCTAAAGCTTGTCATCTTCTTTGATTTGCAGATATAGGATTATGGCAGACTTCTTTGACCATATGAATTGTTCCTTGAGGTTGCTTCGTCTGCGTAAAAGGTCACCAACTTTTCAAAATATTTCTACTCAGGTGGAAGTCCTAGCGAAACGGTAATGTTTGATTTAGTTCAAAATATTTCTCCTTAATGTGCAGTTTCTTTTCCATGGTGGCGGGTAGGATTGTTTCGTTTTCGTATTGTTTTCCTTTTCTTGTTTTTTGAACTTTTTAATCAATTGGAGGAATAATTCACAAGGGATTGGTGCTTCCAAT